CTCTCTCTCTCTCTCTCTCTCTCTCTCTCTCTCTCTCTCTCTCTCTCTCTCTCTCTCTCTCTCTCTCTCTCTCTCTCTCTCTCGCTCGTTCTCTTTTGTGCATGCGTGTTGGTGATGTTTTGCAGTTGATGACGATTTTGGCATTCTCGGCCGGGGCAGCAGCGCTGGGCCTAATCCGGTTTTTCGACAAGGGGTTATTTGGTATAGGCTCGCTTCTCCTGCGAGGGCCCTGCATGGGAGCAGGTCTTGGCCATTGGTGCTCTCGCATCAAGACAGCTGCCTCCTTTATGATAATCTTGGGCATGTTCTACATTTTTTCTAACATCTGGATGGCCATGAAGTCTGTCATTTCTCGATACGAAGGCTTGGCATAGACAGTCAACGTTGGAAACTGACCCCTTTAAAAGGGGGGTGTAGGGGATGTAGTTGGAGAAATTTGAACACCCCCTGGCAGGTGAAATGAGCGAAAACTGACCCCTTTATAGGGTAGTGGAGAAATTTTAACACCCCCTGGCAGGTGGTGAAATGAAGAGATTTGAACTCCCCCTGGCAGGTGAATTGAGCGACTCCCTGGGGAAACAAGAAGCAGAGCAGTGCACGATGCTACATTGGGCTGTCTACTATCTTCACCTGAATACAATTACAATGTACCATCATTTTCGCTGCATCTGGACTGCAAGCTGGGCCAAATATGGATTACAATGACCGTACATTCGGTACGTTCGCGGGAAGGATGGGGCTTTTTTTAGACGATGGGCAAGTCTATGATAGAGGCATTATTAGACTCTACCTAGCACCAAAAAAATAGCCCAGAACAGAGACGCAAAATGGCCTCTTCTAGTCACTGATTTACAGATCGAGAGACGGGAAAACTCAAAATTTGTTTGTTAGGTTAATGGAATCGCTGTTTATTATAGCTAATAGCTGTTTTTTGAATTTTCAATTTTGAGTGACTTTCAGAGCAAGTAGAGCTATAATGATAATGACAACCATGGCCCTCTATTGTGGAGAGGGTGGTTGAAGAACTCAAAGGGAAGGAGAGTCCCCAGCAGCACTGCTCTGTGCTTGCCAGTTCGCAGCATGTCCCCTCCTCTTCTAGTGGGGTCACTCTTCTAGTGGGGTCACTCTTCTAGTGGGTTGACCATGTTGAAACTGTCTTTGTTGAGTGTACCATGTGGATTGTCTTTGTACTATATCAAGTGTGGGTGTGGAGTCGATTGAAAGCTCTTCATCCTCTACCTGAGACTATGTAGAGACTATGTAGAGACTATGTAGAGACTATGTAGAGACTATGCAGAGACTAGGAGAGTCGATTGAAAGCTCTTCATTCTCTAGCCGAGACGATGTAGAGAGTAATGCAGAGACAAGGAGAAACCTCTTCGTTCTCTACCTGAGACTATGTAGAGACTATGCAGAGGCGAGGGTCGTTCCAACTCTGGCGAGCCTGGCTGTTCGCAGAGACTATGTAGAGAACAATAGAGGGGGAAAGTATGGGTGTGGAGTTGATTGTATCAGAGACTCAGAGACTACGACTCAGAGACTATGTAGTCAGAGACTATGACTCAGAGACTATGTAGATACTATGCAGAGACTACGAGAGAGTATGTGGGGGCTATAGAGGATATAAGTATGGGCGTGGAGGAGTCGATTGAAGCTCTTCATTCTCTACTTGAGATGATGTAGAGAGTAATGCAGAGACAAGGAGAAACCTCTTCATTCTCTACCTGAGACTATGCAGAGGCTAGGGCCAGAGTATGTAGAGAACATAAGAGGGGGAAAGTATGTGTGTGGAGTCTATTGTATCAGAGACTCAGAGACTATGTAGATACTATGCAGAGACTACAAGAGACTATGTGGGGGCTATAGAGGATTCAAGTATGGGCGTGAAGAGTCTATCGAACTCAGAGACTATGGTCAGAGACTCAGAGACTACGTAGAGACTATACTCTATCAGAGACTCAGAGACTATGTAGAGACTATCCTAACAGAGACTATGTAGAGACTATCCTAACAGAGACTATGTAACATACACTCAGAGACTATGTAGAGACTATCCAGAGACTAGGGTCAGAGACTATAATGAGACTACGCAGACACATGCAAGTTCTTTGATGAGAGACGCAGACACTATGTGGAGACTATGCAGAGACAATGATGTAGAGCTTATGTAGAGACCATGTAGAAGCATAGTATACCTCTGTGTCAGACTCAAGACTATGTGAAGACTATGTAGAAGCGTAGTTTATTAAACCTCACGATATGTGATCCCTCTCCAAAGACTTCCACTGTGAGATTGCTACTATGTAGAGTTAAGTGTGTATTCCATTTCATTCTAAGGAGTTGCTTGTCCAGTACAGACTCAGTACTCTAGCCTCTCTCTCTCTCTCTCTCTCTCTCTCTCTCTCTCTCTCTCGCTCTCTCTCTCGCTCTCGCTCTCGCTCTCGCTCTCGCTCTCTGAATGCTTTTTCAGTGTAGAAATTGTTGTTTTTGTATGCCATGAAGCCTCAGCTGTCATAGAGTTGAACCCTCCTCTCTCTCAGGATATGAGGTATTAAGAAATGATTGTCTGCTGATTCTGAGGTGGTGTTCTACACTGCAAATAGTGCTCCAACCTGTGGAAGGACTGGTACTGTACTAGACGAAACACCTGTTGTAATATAGTACACTACAGTGTAATGACTGCACATTCGTATAGTACACTGTGGGTCAACATAGTATGACATAGTCATAGCACACTGTAGATTATGTTCATACTATAGCATACTGTGGGTCAACATAGTATGAACATAGTCTACAGTGTGATATGACTATGTGCATACTATGTTGACCCACTGTTGTTCTACAGTGCAAATAGTGGTGCAATCTGTGGAAGGACTGGTACTGTAGACTATGTGCATACTATGTTGACCCACAGTGTACTATGCTATGACAAATGTGCAGTCTATCTCGACGGAACTGAAGTATGAGAGTTTGTAGTGTATATTATGTCCGGTTTATGTGGCATGCAGGGCTGGTGTCTATAGTCAGACTTTGCCGACGAAACTGTAAAAGCCATGTGACGTAGCATAAAGTTTTTCACTATAATTGTAGACTATGGCAAGACTATGGCACACTGTATGCGGACTATGTAGCACTCGAGGACAGATACCCTTTTTGTCTATGGGCTAGTGTTGCCTTGCGAATGAAGAACTCTCGGGGACAAATGAGGAGCATAGACTTCCTGAGTTGATGGGTGTGTGGGTGTGTGTTAGAGAGTGTCAGTGAGAGAGAGAGAGAGAGAGAGAGAGAGTCTCTGCAATTCAAACTAATGGCTCTGTGTGTGGCCTGCTAAAGAGAGCAGTGTGCAATGGTGACTTTCGGGGAGGGTGTGAAGATGGTAAAAGCAAAAAGAAAATTATCACCTGCAAGAGAGAGAGAGAGAGAGAGAGAGAGAGAGAGAGAGAGAGAGAGAGAGACTTGGAAATGTCTTCATTTTTTTTAAATTTGAAGGGCCCAGCACACTCGGAATAAGGGCCTCGCTCTGCTGCTTACCAAATGTGCAAAATGAGAATGAATCTTCTGCTAGAACATGGAAAGATGCACCGCCATATTTTTTTGTCTTTTGTGCATGAGGTGAGTGCTGAAGCAGAAAGGCCCTAATTCAAATCAAACATCATCATGTGGAAAGAAAAGTACAGTTTCGTCGCGTGGGGCTAGGGTCCTTGGCGTTCTATGCCCAAAATTTAATGTGGAAAGAAGAGGACAGTTTCTTGCTCGGGGCTGGTGGGGTAGGGTGGTCCCTGTTTTTTTTCTTCTTTTTTTTTTGGGGGGGGGGGGGGTTTCGTGGGGCCGGGGGGTGGGGTACTTGGGGTTCTTTATGCTTGTCAGTGTAACTGTGAGAACAAAAAACAAAAAACAAAAAATAAAAAGTGAAACCCTACTCGTCTAGTTTGTTTTCAGACCTTTGAAAGAACTTTGATTCCATTTATTCGGCATGGCCAAGGACCAGAGCTGCAGTGATATCTGGCAGCGGCAGCCAATGGTTGTCCTCTGACATTATAGGCCACCTACCCTACCCATCCCGAGAATACTCCTAGCGCACCCCCTGACCCTACTCTCACACTGAGGTACCCACCTACCCTACCCATCCCCACGTGAATACTCCTAGCGCACCCCCTGACCCTACTGTCACACTGAGGTGTTTCTACCCTTTCTCGTTCTTGTGAGTTTCAGCAAGAGAACGGGGAGCATGGGAGGAGAGGAGGGGCTGTCTCTTATACACATCTAGATGTGTAT